TCCACAAGGATTGGTACTGTGTCCATACGTATGTACATACACCAAGTAGGGATATGACCGATTGACTTCAGATGCTGATACTTACTGTATCAGGCTCTGAAGTCACTACCATTCTGAAGTCACTACCATTCTGAAGTCACTACCATTCTGAAGTCACTACCATTCAGAAGTCACTACCATTCTGAAGACACTACCAATCTGAAGACACTACCATTCTGAAGACACTACCATTCTGAAGACACTACCATTCTGAAGACACTACCATTCTGAAGACACTACCATTCTGAAGACACTACCATTCTGAAGACACTACCATTCTGAAGACACTACCATTCTGAAGTCACTACCATTCTGAAGACACTACCAATCTTGAAGAAAATACCATTCTGAAGACACTACCATTCTGAAGACACTACCGATCTGAAGACACTACCATTCTGAAGACACTACCATTCTGAAGACACTACCATTCTGAAGACACTACCATTCTGAAGACACTACCATTCTGAAGTCACTACCATTCTGAAGTCACTACCACTCCATCCTGTGAATGGTAGTGTCTAGTTTATTGTGCACCTCATATCCACCCTGTGGATAGTAGAGGCTAGTTTTTAACCAAGCCTAAGCCTGGCTACTACAACATCAGTCAGTCTGTCCACACTGGAAAGCCTCCTATAAGAACGTTAATCTACTTTCACACTATTCTAATAAGCAATACATCTATTCAGACTTCCAAGTGCATTCCAACGAAATTCGGTTTCATTATTTACTTCTCTCCTAATGTTATTGCTAATACGAGAGTAAGGGTAGCTTAAAGAACTCTGGGAACTTACCTTAAGTGATAACACAATCGTAAGGATATTCGGATCTACAAGATAATAAACATTAGGTAAAGATGCGAGAGGTTCTGAATGGCTAGTGTGTGTGCCACACACACAAGGTAACTGACCCCAGTCAGCCAACCCAGCTCTGAATAATCAGACATGCCAAACACTCCCGGTTAACCACACTCCAGGTTTGGAAATAAATGGTATAAAATACCGACACAATGGCAATATAAACACAAATGCAGTATAATGTGATCCTTTATTGACTACGTTTCGCCCACACAGTGGGCTTTTTTCAAGATCACAAACAGATCTATCCTGGGGTGGGAAGGAACCGAGTATTTATAGTCCGGCTGAGGTTTCAGGTTGGAGAAAAATGCGGGATCTGAGATTTTTTACCGAGTTGGGTTGTAGAGTCTAAAACTTGGGTAGCTTGGAAAGGAGACTGGGCAAGTTTGTGAGCAGACCTTCTACAGTGTTCTTATGTGGGATAGCGAAAAAGAAGAAGTTTTCTTGGGAAGTGGTTCAGCTATGTTATTAAAGCCCACTATTCTGGTTGAAGTTGTCGGATATAGAAATAAGTGATGATTCCAGGATTCTTCGGTATTGAGTGTTGTCTTCTGTGGCGATAAGTCTTGAGTTTTTTGTAGTTTATCAAGTGGTTGTGTGAATTACGGTGTTGTACGCAGGCATTCCTTGTTTTCGTCAGACCTGCTTGCGTATTGGTGTTCTGAAAAACGGTTTGGAGGTCCCTTGATGTTTCGCCCACGTATAACTTGTTGCAGTCATTTCAAGGGATTATGTATACCCTGCAGAGGATGGAGGCTTGTCCTGCCCACAAATTTGGGGATGTCCTTGATGGTCGTTTGGGTTTTGGAGGTAGATACTTGGAATGATTTTGGCAAAGATGTTGGAAACATGTTTGGCAATGGAGTTGGTGGGAAGGACTATGTATCTCTTCTCGGCAGTGTCTTCTTGGGTGTGTTGAAGATGTTTAGTGCTCGCCGTCTGCAGTCCCCTGATGAAGTGACGAGGATAGGGAGTTTGGAAAATACCCGTTCAATTATAGTGCATTCTTCCTCAAGGAACTCGTTTTCTGCAGATTCTGAGTGCACGCAGGAAGAAGCCTATAATTAACCACGTTTGGTTTTGGGGTCGTGGTGAGAGTAAGTGGAGAAGATCGGGTTTTTGGTTGGTGGGGTTTTTGATAGACTTTTAAAACGAAGTTCGTGGTCAGCTTTGCAGAGTAGAACATCAAGGAAAGGAAGAAGTGTTGTCGACCTCTTCTTCAAAATGTGAACTGAATTTAAGGCTCGACCTGGTTGAGCTTGTCTTGGAGAGCTTGAACGTTGAAGCGTTTAGGAGTTTATGAGGAGAATGTCGTCAAACATAACGGAGGGCCCGGTGACAGACGAAGGAATAAGGTGGAGAAACGTTCGGCTTCTAGATGTTCCATGTATAGGTTCGCTAGGACTGCACTGAGTGGCGAACCCATGGGTAGTCCAAAAGTCTGCTGAAAGAGGTGATTTTCAAAAGAGAAACACGTAAAGCCAACACATAGTTCAACCAGGTCGATGAAGTCGCTGGCTGGAATGGGAAGATATCTACCTCCACAACCACGACCATCAAGGACATCACCAGTAGTAGGCAGGACAAGCCTCCATCCTCTGCAGGGGTATACATAATCCCTTGTAATGACTGCAACAAGTTATACGTGGGCGAACATCAAGGACCTCCAAACACGTATTTCAGAACACCAATACGCAAGCAGGTCTGACGACACAAGGAATGCCTGCGTACAACACCGTAATTCACACAACCACTTGATAAACTACAGAAACTCAAGACTTATCGCCACAGAAGACAACACTCAATACCGAAGAATCCTGGAATCATCACTTATTTCTATATCCGACAACTTCAACCAGAATAGTGGCTTCTATAACATAGCTGAACCACTTGCCAAAAACTTCTTCATCGCTATCCCACATAAGAACACTGTAAGAAGGTCTGCTCACAAACTTGTCCAGTCTCCTTTCCAAGCTACCCAAGTTTTTAGACTCTACAACCCAACTGGTACATCATCAATGCAGCATTCTTCACCTGACCTCAGCCGGACTATAAATACTCGCGTTCCTTCCACCCCAGGTAGTCTGTTTGTGACTTGAAAAAGCCCACTGTGTGGGCGAAACGTAGTCAATAAAGGATCACATTATACTGCATTTGTGTTTATATTGCCACACTCCAGGTTTATTTAAACCCAGGGAAAATTTTTGTCTTTAGCTGAACGAGGTGACTCACAGGATGGTGGCTGTGTATAGCGTGTATGTGACACATTTCTGGGTGGGCTGCAGTGTTACACACACGCTAATACCCTGGCGAGGCGCGTGCCACAAACCCGAAACAACAGAGCATCTATAAGATCCAGGAAAAGGCGATTTCTATTACATTCTCTTTGAAAACACATCACAAGTGGTGCTTGTCACCACTTAAGTGTTCTCAGGTCTGGGATAATGTTCCGAGTTCGCAGTTCCTCTCAGGGAAGGAGAGAATAACAAAAGTGGTCACTGTTCAGAGGTTGTTTGCTCCGATGTACCAAGCAAAACAAATTCACTGCTGGGAACGCCCCAGAGTACTTGAAATGTACTCGCTGGAATGAGGAGAAAGAGATTATGAAATGTGTGTGTGAGAGATACGGAAGTGAATCAGTGAATCAGGGAAAACTAGAGGTGCCATAGGCACAGGTAGAGAACATTCTATCAACATCCGTGGTGCACCACTATTCGACGTGCTACCAGCCTGCTATCAACCTCTTATCAGCCCGTTACCAGCCTGCTATCAGCCCGTTACCAGTCTGCTATCAACCTGTTACCAGCCTCTTGCCAGCCCATTACCCCCTGCTACTAACCTGCTATCAGCCTATTACCAGCCTGGTATCAGCCTGCTACAAGCGAATTGAAGACATGTTTAATAGATTATCACCTGATGAAAGGGCCAATTTAATCATGTTGTGATGGCTAGGTAGGCCTGCGGATTGGTGGCACTAACAGCCTCGTGGACCAGACAAGCAACAATGAATTCTGGCCTCCAGGAGCGCAGTACCGTCAAGCAGACACAGGAAGACGTTCCCGGTGCTAAAATACAATAAATCTTTTGCATTGATGGAGGAAGAGGAAGAGGAGGAGGAGGAAGAAGAGGAGGGGGAGGAGGAGGAGGAGGAGGAGGAGGGAAGAGGGCTGCAGTTGCAGTTAGTAGGTGGTGGGGGTCGTGTTGCAGTGGGTGACACGGCGCGCGTCAAGACACACTGCCTCCACTCTAATTATCTTCTGGGTGGTCATGCCAGCCTTGCACCACCCCTGTAGTGTGACCTGCACCCTTCCTTGTAGTGTGACCTGCACCCTTCCTTGTAGTGTGACCTGCACCCTTCCTTGTAGTGTGACCTGCACCCTTCCTTGTAGTGTTTACCTGCACCCTTCCTTGTAGTGTACCTGCAAACCCTCCTTGTAGTGTGACCTGCACCCTTCCTTGTAGTGTGACCCGCACCCACCCCTGTAGTGTGACCTGCACCCTTCCTTGTAGTGTGACCTGCACCCTTCCTTGTAGTGTGACCTGCACCCTTCCTTGTAGTGTGACCTGCACCCTTCCTTGTAGTGTGACCTGCACCCTCCCCTGTAGTGTGACCTGCACTCACCCATGTAGTGTGGCCTGCACCCACCCCTGTAGTGTGACCCGCACCCACCCTGGATAGACTCGACTATTGTTGAACACACTACAGCAAGTCCTGATCATGGTACCAGGTCATAATAATAATAATAATAATAATAATAATAATAATAATAATAATAATAATAATAATAATAATAATAATAATTTATATTTCTATAAGTACATGATACAACTTATACATAAGGAAATACAGTACCTGGGGGAAAGGGGAATACAATACACTGAGGAATGGGGAAATACAGTAGGCTGAGAATGGGGAATACAGCATACAGAGTCCAGGTCCTAGGTCTGACCTGATACCGCGACCATTGTTACCGCGTGAGCAACGAGGTCACGTGGACGTGTCAGTATGACGCTGTGACGGCGTCACATAAGCGTGACGCTGTGACGGCCTCTCATTAGTGTGACGCTGTAACGGCCTCTCGTGAGTGTGACGCTGTGACGGTCTCACATGAGCGTGACGGTGACAGTCTTGTAGAAGTAGACAAGGTTGGTGAGGTTGACCTCGTCTGACAGGTCACGTGGTGTGACGCGCTCCACCAGCGTCATCCTGGTCAGGACGTCTCTGAAGGGATGGTACGTCGCATAATGTACGTCTTCCTGCGTCGCCCTATACACGTCTCCCGGCTCCTTCGTCAGGCTATTGAACAACGTACGGAAAGTAACGTCAGTAAGACGGAGGATCGATACCACAACCCTTTCCTTGCGTCGAAAGACGCATTAACTGCATATATACATATGGGTGTAAAGGAGGGTGTTGCAGGGCTCTTGATTCAAGGAAACGGAGCCTCTTTCCAGCCTTCCTCGTCAATAATAAAAACACTTAAACGAAAAAAAATATTTGTGTTACCCAAATCTAGTTTGGTTTCAACCCTGTCGGTCTGGGACCTGACTGCAGCGTGTGGGGTGACCTCCCCCTCCTCCGAAATCCTTCCCAGATAGAGATGAAACGTGCTCCCACTCACCAGAAGGGCGAAAAGGGACACATGATGATGTAGAGCTGGTTGCCGTAAAAGGAACCTGTGTACATCATCTGAAGATGGTCGTGGAGGTTCCGATCATTGAAGCCCAGACACTGCCAGAGAGACGAAGCATCACATCAATAACACACAATACCGACAGGATGAAGAATCAGACGCATGTGCAGCATCTGGGTTCCACCATCTAGTGGATTTATCAATACAAGGTCATAATGTGAAGTATGAGGTGATCGGTCTCTCAGTCTTGGAGTTGGGGAAGAGCACTTTAGTGTTGAAGAATCTGAAGCTTATATACTGGCGTCAGACACTACAACATCATGGAATTTTGATACAGAGGGTATCACAACTTTCTTGTTTACTTCTGGTCCATCCCTCGGGCATTACCTACTTCCCCTGGGGAATCCCGCCTACCAGTGATGATGCCTTCGTCTGCTGCGCCTCCCTCACCTGACGCCAGTATCCCGCCACAGATTCTCCAAGACTACGGTGATCTTCACCAACTCCAAGACTGAGGAACTAATTACCTCATCTCTTGTGTATACCTCTACATAATTCACATTTTGTCCTTAAATTTGTATTGATGAGGCCACTGGATGGGCGAAACGTGTAAAAATAAAGATACCCAGATGTTGGACATGTGTCTAATTCACCAGAGAGAAGAGGCAGTGAGGCTGGTGATAGAAAGATCGCAGTGAGAATAAGATACTTGTGCAACATTTGGGACCCTTTTACTTGGGAAACGTTTCGCTAGCCCGTGGCTTCTTCAGTCCAGTACAGAGAAAATCGTTGAAAGATGAGGAGGAGGAGAATGAGGTAATCAGTTCCTCATAGATTTGGAAACAATTGACACTCTTTTGGTCTCAAAATTTTTCATTATTATTACAGTCATCGCAAAATAATTTTTTCTCTGTCCACCACAACTGTCATTACTGGTACCTTTGATATACCTTTGATGAGTTCTGAGAGTTTTTCTACGGTCCAGGGTGAGGGACTCATCGCTTCATTATCCTCATCTTTCACCGTTTTTCTTTGAATTGGACTGTAGAAGCCACTGGCTGGCGAAACGTTTCCAGAATAAAGATACTTAAATGTCGCACAAGTGTCTCGTTTATCAACTTGTCAGTATCGTAAACCATTTATTCACAATATCTATCGACTTCCACAATATCTATCGACTTCAACCTGGATTAAGGACTATCGTGTAAACACAAATAACCCGGACATAGGAGAGAGGATTACGACGACGTTCCGGTCCGACTTGGACCATTTACAAAGTCACACAGTCGAAGTCGGACCGGAACGTCGTCGTAATCCTCTCTCCTAGGTGCAGGTTATTTATATTTTGTTGTTTACGGAGTACCGTGTATATTTAGGTGTGTGAGCCAAATTGAAGAATCAACTACGTGAGGTCACAAAAGCATCATTTAGGTTACTATAGATCACTGTGACCTTGTGGAAGAATTTCTCAAAAGCGGACAGATTTTTGCAAAAGATGGAATCTAGGAGCGTCGTTCTCACCCTGGCCACGACGTAGTAGGACCACACGGTGTTGTTAGAGAGGCTCTCCCGGTGTACATACACCACGTAGCTCTGGTTTACCTGCAACACAGTTAAAACGTGATGTACATACACTACATTAACCTGGTTTACCTGGAACACTGTAAAACACTGTGTTCACCTGGAACATAAAATTTACTGGTTACTGATCCTGTCTGGTGTTTAGATGATCTTAATTTTAACACACAAGTCGTCTCCCACTGAGGTAGGGTGACTCCCAGAAACAAAGAAACACATTCACCATCATTTGTTCCATCGCTGTTCAACCACAAGCTTGTTAGGCAAAAGGACACAAGTGCAACTAATGTGATATTTCATTGTGGCAACGTTTCGCTCTCCAGGAGCATTATCAAGCCCTTGCAAACAATACAGGGACACAGAGAGTTCTATATATATAGGTACACTTGAAGAAAAGTCCAATGCAATTCTTCTGAGTCGTTCTGGCACTAGGGCTGTGGCCTGTGTGCCTGGAATGACTCAACTGAAATTGAGTCACCCGTGCCCTTGTCATAGGGCTGTAAACGTTACATCTCTTGCACCAACTTCGACCCATCTTTGGCAGCCACTGCCAGGTCACATGAAGAAGACCTAGACCAGAATCTGGAGAAGACCTGAAACAGGACCTGGAGTGGTTTTAAGGTTAGGGAACAGCTTATCAGAAATGACCTGGACCAGGACCCGTCCTGACGAACCTATATAAACATGAACATGTACTGTTTGTAACGGCTTGATAAAGCTCCTGGTGTTCGAAATGTAGCGACAATAAAATGTTACATTAGCTGCACCTAACATATTGTCGGTAATTTTACTAACATTATTACAACCAGAAGTTTACTGACATTACAGTTATATTAAAAATTGTATAAAATACCGACAAGTTGATGATTAAGCCACATGTGACACAGTTGGGTATCCTTATTGATGAAACGTTTCGCCTACACAGTAGGCTTCTTCAGTCAAATATAGAGGCAGCAAACTGGGGGACTGACTATCTCATATCTCGAAAGGGTGATGGACTGATTACATCGTCTTCATTTCACTACTACACCTGCTATCCGTGTGTGACTGAAGAAGTATTTTATACCGTTTTCAACAGTACTGGCAAGACTTGGTGTGCAGACACGGAGAGTACCCGTGACTGACCTGGTGGCGAGGTACAGGGGTCACATTACACAGGTGCTGGCCTGGTGTGTGGACACGGAGAGTACCCGTGACTGACCTGGTGGCGAGGTACAGGGGTCACATTACACAGGTGCTGGCCTGGTGTGTGGACACGGAGAGTACCCGTGACTGACCTGGTGGCGAGGTACAGGGATCTCCTTACACGGATGCTGGATGAAGCGCACAATGTTCCCCCTCTGGATGTTCCTGACGTGGAATCTAAGGTACCTGTGCAGCTCCGCCCTGAAAAGCATCAACACAACACCCGTGAAACACACCCATGTTGCTCTGTCTCTCCGAGGTCAGTCAATGCCGCTCCTTCAATTAATAATGTTAACACCTTATAAATTTCTCTTTCTCCTTCAAGATATTCTCATTCTGAATTTTTTTAATGGTAACGTTGACTCTGATTCCACTATAAAAACAGTAAATACATAAATCGAACGATCACAGGAGACTTGCCTCACATGGTGTCCGAAAAAAAGGCCACAGGTAAAAAGGTCACAGAAAATAACCCATACTTTTGGCTAAGGGAAAGGTTAAGTTAGGTTGTGACCCATCTTTCTGTGACCTTTTTCCTGTGACTTTTTTCCTGTGACTTTGTTTCCTGGATCCGCCCCGCACACATGTCGTCTCTCCCCGTCAAACGAACCCGGGACATAACGGCAGTGAAGCAGGACAGGGTCTTAACGTCCATAGCCGCGGACGGCCGTGGACGGTCGGTGTTTCTTACCCATGGACGTCCATGGTGACGTTGATGAGAGAGTTGAGTGGACGATGGTTGAAGTATTGCTCTTGTTCTATCCCGGTAACGTGGACGCCGCCGCTACCCCGGTGTTTCGTACGAGGGATTTCGGGCACCAGGAGATCCCGGTCCCCCATCACGTTCTTACGAACCCACAAATCCCAGTCCACTCCCTATGGGTCCACTTACTTTAGTAGAGGTTATTATTATTATTATTATTATTATTATCATTATTATTATTATTATTGCTGTTGTTGTTATTATTATTGTTATTTTTACTATTATTATTATTATTATTATTATTATTATTATTATTATTATTATTATTATAATTATTATTATTATTATTATTATTATTATTATTATTATTATTATTATTATTATTATTATTATTATTATTATTATTATTATTATTATTATTGCTGTTGTTGTTATTATTATTGTTATTTTTACTATTATTATTATTATTATTTATTATTATTATTATTATTATATTATTATTATTATTATTATTATTATTATTATTATTATACTATTATTATTATTATATTATTATTATTAATAATAATAATATTATTATTATTATTATATTATTATTATTATTATTATTATTATTATTATTATTATTATTATTATTATTATTATTATTATGCTATGGGGAATGGGAGGCAGTCAGAGCTGATCTGAAGATGAGAGGCAGCTCCTATTCCATAAATCAAGAGCACCATCCTGACACAAATCCCTTAAAAAAAACAGGATTAATCTTACTGCATTGAGAGGAGGCCATTTGTGGGTCATGTCTTGAGCTACAGCTCTTGTCACCATCCAGCCGTAGGCTGGTGCACCATGCACTCTGTACAGCCGAGTGGCGTCCAGGGCTGTGTGCGCGAAAGCGTTGTAATTGTGCGCGTTGACGCAGAAAAGTCTGGAGTCTGCGGTCAGTAGCCAGGCTGTCTGCTGGAAGTACCTGCAGACACAGACATCACTATTTTTAACACATATTGAGCCAACGGGGCCGCCAACAGCAGTAACAACAGCCTGGTTGACCAGGCAAGCACCTGATGAGCCTGGCCCAAGGCCGGGCTGCAGGTGTTAAAAAAAACTCTCAAAACTAATCAAAGGCACATCACAGGATATGTTTCTAAAATAGTAACAGAAATAGTATTAGTAGTAGTAATAGTAGCAGTGTACCAATAATAATAGTAGTAATAATAATAATAGTAGCAGTAATAATAATAATAATAATAATAATATTAATAATAATGATAATAATAATAACAGTAATAGTAGTAGTAATAATAACAGTAGTGGTAGCAATAATAATAATATATAAGAATGAAGCTGAAGTAATAATATATATAATAATGAAGGGTAATGTTGGTTAAACATAATGCAAGAGTCATTCTAAAAGTATTGGAATAGTTAGGAGGAGGTGTCGATTACCAACAACTGTTGTCCCAAGATCAGTGCAGGAAGGGTTGATGAGGGTCGGTTCGAACTGTAAGGGGCATCCAGAGCGAAAGGAAGACTCAAGAGTGTTACAGCCTGTTATAGTGTTAAACTGAAGGCGGTAGGTATCGATTCCAAGTGATTGTTAAGAAATATTAAGGAGTATGTTGTGCGAGGGCTTTTTTAGGCCTTTTCAGCACTAATGCTGTGAGGTCAGTTTGAATAGTGAGGAATGGAGACAAAATTATGTGTTTTTTAAAACTTGACGTGCTGTTGGGGTGTGAGCAAAGTAACATTTATGAAGGGATTCAGGGAAACCGCAGGCCGGACTTGAGTCCTGGAGATGGGAAGTACAGTGCCTGCACTCTGAAGGAGGGGTGTTAATGTTGCAGTTTAAAAACTGTAGTGTAAAGCACCCTTCTGGCAAGACAGTGATGGAGTGAATGATGGTGAAAGTTTTTCTTTTCGGGCCACCCTGCCTTGGTGGGAATCGGCCGGTGTGATAAAAAAAAAAAAAAAAAAAAAAAAAAATAATAATAATAATGGTAGTAATAGCCTTGGTTAAAGACAAGCTGAGATGAAAGCAGCTCCAGTACTAGAAGTAATCATGAATGAATCAGTCCCTCAACCTTGGTAGCAGGTGGTCAGTCCCTCACCTCCTGCCACTCAAAGATCACAGTGAAGGAAGGGAGTCTGATGACTGATCTCAACTGATCCTAAAACTCTTGATAAAGAGGCCATTCCAGAAGCAAGAGGAAGAGGAAGACTAGCACAGGAGGGTCCCGCTTTACAGCCCCTGGTTTATAGTGTTTCACAACTACAGCGGTTTCCAGTTATATCAATTCTTCATTTATTCAGACTTGCTATAATAAATATTTTAAGGTAAGTAATGTATGTACTGTATATGCATTTTTTTAGGCCTAGCTATATTGTTCACTTAATATATGATAGTGGAAAGATGATATCAGGCTTTGATATGCATTTAAAAGTGGAAAAAAAATTATGTGTTTCACTTTACAGCCCAGAACTTAACCTGCTGTATAAGTGGGGCCTTAAAGTGGCCCAGAACCTAACCTGCTGTATAAGTGGGGCCTTAAAGTGGCCCAGAACCTAACCTGCTGTATAAGTGGGGCCTTAAAGTAATCCAGAACCTAACCTGCTGTATAAGCGGGGCCTTAAAGTAACCCAGAACCTAACCTGCTGTATAAGTGGGGCCTTAAAAGTCCAGAACCTAACCTGCTGTATAAGGGGGCCTTAAAGTGCCCAGAACCTAACCTGCTGTATAAGTGGGGCCTTAAAGTGGCCCAGAACCTAACCTGCTGTATAAGTGGGGCCTTAAAGTGGCCCAGAACCTAACCTGCTGTATAAGTGGGGCCTTAAAGTGGCCCAGAACCTAACCTGCTGTATAAGTGGGGCCTTAAAGTGGCCCAGAACCTAACCTGCTGTATAAGTGGGGCCTTAAAGTAATCCAGAACCTAACCTGCTGTATAAGTGGGGCCTTAAAGTAATCCAGAACCTAACTTGCTGTATAAGTGGGGCCTTAAAGTAACCCAGAACTTAACCTGCTGTATAAGTGGGGCCTTAAAGTGGCCCAGAACTTAACCTGCTGTATAAGTGGGGCCTTAAAGTGGCCCAGAACTTAACCTGCTGTATAAGTGGGGCCTTAAAGTGGCCCAGAACCTAACCTGCTGTATAAGTGGGGCCTTAAAGTAATCCAGAACCTAACCTGCTGTATAAGTGGGGCCTTAAAGTAATCCAGAACCTAACTTGCTGTATAAGTGGGGCCTTAAAGTAACCCAGAACTTAACCTGCTGTATAAGTGGGGCCTTAAAGTGGCCCAGAACTTAACCTGCTGTATAAGCGGGGCCTTAAAGTAACCCAGAACCTAACCTGCTGTATAAGCAGGGCCTTAAAGTAACCTAGAACCTAACCTGCTGTATAAGTGGGGCCTTAAAGTAACCCAGAACCTAACCTGCTGTATAAGCGGGGCCTTAAAGTAACCCAGAACCTAACCTGCTGTATAAGCAGGGCCTTAAAGTAACCCAGAACTTAACTTGCTGTGTAAGTGGGGCCCTACAGTAACCCGGAACTTAACCTGCTATATAAGTGGGGCCCTACAGTAACCCAGAACTTAACCTGCTGTATAAGCGGGGCCCTACAGTAACCCAGAACTTAACCTGCTGTATAAGCGGGGCCCTACAGTAACCCGGAACTTAACCTGCTATATAAGTGGGGCCCTACAGTAACCCGGAACTTAACCTGCTATATAAGTGGGGCCCTACAGTAACCCAGAACTTAACCTGCTGTATAAGCGGGGCCCTACAGTAGTCATCTTAGAGAAGAGCCGCTTCCTACAGGAAGACACTTCAGAGGATTCTAACCACTGGCCACTCAGGGTGTGTGTATATGGTATGAGCGTTCGTAATTACTGTATGTGTCTTTATCTCTCCCTGAGCACATCATCCTTTAAGACAGAATACCCTCGCGGTCGGGGCTAACTATACGGTACGGTGCGGTACGGAATTCGGCATGGTGGGGGTTGACCTCTTTTTTTAAAGTACGTTACATTTTCCTTGCTGTACAGTTAGGTAGTTTTCGAGTAGGAAAATCAGGAAAACAGTACCGTACTTCACCGTACCGCAGCCATCACCGTGTAGTAACATTCACCAATGAGATTTCAGTAATAGGTAAAGTATCCAGAACAGCGCCTGGTGACAAGGGACATGTGTCGTAGAACCACGACACACCTGGTGAAATCTTTCTTTTAAAACTAAAGCCCTTCCTTCCACTGCTACAATAAACAGACCTTTAATTACCGGCAATTTAAGGAAGTTTATGATATCTTTAACTGAAGACTTAACTGTTACACTTACGGGATGAAGTCTGGAGAAAGATCAAGATCGTCTTCTAAGATGATGGCCTTGTCAGCCTCTGGGTACATCTCGAAGACCTTACTTAAGACGAACTTGACGTGATAGCTGATGCGGTTCGTTGAACCTGAGAAGAATAAGACTGGAACAGGACTCCTTGATGATTAAGACACATATGCAAGAGTTCGGTATCTTTTCTGTTGAAACGTATCACCTACACAGTCGCGGAACGGCGAATCCTGAACCCACGACTGGGAGTCCTAACCACAGCAACACACTGCTCTGTGAGTTGTAAGACTCACTTGGTAGAGTAAATATATCTCGGTGTTTATTTGAATAAATGTCCTAGTGTTTACTAACGAGTCATTTTAAATAAATTTGTGGGTATCATTTACTAAGGTTGATAGCAGGACTTCGCTTGTCATGGGTTTAAATCCCATCCGTTCCGTGATCTGACGATAGCAATATTAAAGAGGTGACCCCCGGTTCTTCAACTAGACAAGAAGCTGTGCAACAGAGTGAGACACTTGTGAAGCTGACCTAGTTGATGAACCTTTAATGGAATACTAGACGATATTCTTACTGTCGAGCCTTAGTCTCCCAGCCAAGGCTGCTGTAGTCTCCCAGCCCAGGCTACTGTAGTCTCCCATCCCAGGCTGCTGTAGTCTCCCAGCCCAGGCTACTGCAGTCTCCCAGTCCTAGCTGCTGTAGTCTTTCAGTTCAGGCTACTGTAGTCTCCCATCCCAGGCTACTGTAGTCTCCCATCCCAGGCTACTGTAGTCTCCCATCCCAGGCTACTGCAGTCTCCCAGTCCTAGCTGCCGTAGTCTTTCAGTTCAGGCTACTGTAGTCTCCCATCCCAGGCTACTGTAGTCTCCCATCCCAGGCTACTGTAGTCTCCCATCCCAGGCTACTGTAGTCTCCCATCCCAGGCTACTGCAGTCTCCCAGTCCTAGCTGCCGTAGTCTTTCAGTTCAGGCTACTGTAGTCTCCCATCCCAGGCTACTGTAGTCTCCCATCCCAGGCTACTCTAGTCTCCCATCTCAGGCTACTGTAGTCTCCCATCCCAGGCTACTGTAGTCTCCCATCCCAGGCTACTGTAGTCTCCCATCCCAGGCTACTGTAGTCTCCCAGCCAAGGCTACTGTAGTCTCCCATCCCAGGCTACTGTAGTCTCCCATCCCAGGCTGCTGTAGTCTCCCAGCCAAGGCTACTGTAGTCTCCCATCCCAGGCTACTGTAGTCTCCCAGCCCTAGCTACTTTAGTCTTCCAGTTCAGGCTGCTGTAGTTTCCCAGCCCAGGCTACTGTAGTCTCCTAGTCTAGGCTACTGTAGTCTCCCAGCCCAGGCAACTGTAGTCTCCCAGCTTAGGCTACTGTAGTCTTTCGGCCCAGGCTACTGTAGTTTCCCAGCCCAGGCTACTGTAGTCTCCTAGCCTAGGCTACTGTAATGTCCCAACCCAGGCAACTGTAGTGTCCCAGCTTAGGCTACTGTAGCCTTTCAGCCCAGGCTACTGTAATCTCCCAGCGTAGGCAACTGTAGTCTCCCAGCCTAGGCTACTGCAGTCTCCCAGCTTAAGCTACTGTAATCTCCCAGTCCTGGCTGCTGTAGTCTCCCAGCCCAGACTACTATAGTCTCCCAGTCCAGGCTACAGTAGTCTCCCAGTCCAGGCTACTGTACTTTCCCAGCCTAGGTTACTGTAGTCTCTCAGCCTAGGTTACTGTAGTCCCCCAGCCTAGGCTATTGTAGTCTCCCAGTCTAGGCTACTGTAGTCCCCAGCCTAGGCTACTGTAGTCTCCAAGCCTAGGCTACTGTAGTCTCCCAACCTAGGCTACTGTAGTCTCCCAACCTAGGCTACTGTAGTCTCCCAACCTAGGCTACTGTAGTCTCCCAGCCTAGGCTACTGTAGTCTCCCAACCTAGGCTACTGTAGTCTCCCAACCTAGGCTACTGTAGTCTCCCAACCTAGGCTACTGTAGTCTCCCACCTAGGCTACTGTAGTCTCCCAACCTAGGCTACTGTAGTCTCCCAACCTAGGCTACTGTAGTCTCCCAACCTAGGCTACTGTAGTCTCCCAGCCTAGGCTACTGTAGTCTCCCAACCTAGGCTACTGTAGTCTCCCAGCCTAGGCTACTGTAGTCTCCCAGCCTAGGCTACTGTAGTCTCCCAACCTAGGCTACTGTAGTCTCCCAACCTAGGCTACTGTAGTCTCCCAACCTAGGCTACTGTAGTCTCCCAACCTAGGCTACTGTAGTCTCCCAACCTAGGCTACTGTAGTCTCCCAGCCTAGGCTAGGAGACAGCAGCAGGTCACATCCAGAATCATGGAATATAAGAGAGTGAAGCATTGCTTTTATTCCCACTGAGTAACTATCATATAGAATAGTATAGCACGAGAAGAAAGAGTTAACAGAAGAAATTAACGATAATAAGAAAAATAGTAATAATATCTATAATATGAGACACTACGAGACTTGGCTATATTGTAGGATCTAGAAACTACATACCCTGAGGGGCAGGGTCCGTGTGCTCGACTACAGGGACTTGGAGGAGAGTTCCCAGGTCCAGGGCCTCAGGGTTGTGACCGTCAACAAAGATGGTGAGGGGTGTGTGGGTGCCCCCCGGGCTGGCCCACACCTGGCCCACTTGACGCAAGACGTGGGTCAGCCGCCGAGATGTCACTATGGCAACAGGAATCACCTCGCGCATCGCGTACTCCACCTGGCAGTCGTAAATTTAGTTAGTGCGCAGCGGAAGTCTTCGAGAAATGTTTATATAGCGGCATTCATAAGTGGAAATTGAATACAATCATTAAATAACTCTCTGCCCTCCTCCCATCATTGTTTTAGCTCACTTAGCACCTCTTTCTCACTGGGTATATACACTGAGAGGTGTATGTTTCACGGGTATATACACTGAGAGAGGTGTATGTCTCACAGGGTATATACACTGAGAGGTGTATGTTTCACAGGGTATATACACTGAGAGGTGTATGTTTCACGGGGTATATACACTGAGATGTGTATGTCTCTCAGTGTATATACACTGAGAGAGGTGTATGTATCTCAGGGAATGTACACAGAGAGGTATATATCTCTCAGGGTATATAGACTGAGAGGTTAGTTAGTTACCAGTTTGCCCTAGACACATGTCGACTAGATACTAGGCCTGTTATATCTGCGTGTGTGTGTGTGTGTGTGTGTGTGTGTGTGTGTGTGTGTGTATACAGTCACTTATTTGTGGTTTCAGGGGTCGACTCACAGCTCCTGGCCCCGCCTCTTCACTGACCGCTACTAGGTCCTCTCTCTCCCTGCTTCCTGAGCTTTATCATACCTCGTCTTAAAGCTATGTATGGTTCCTGCCTCCACTACATCACTTGCCAGACTATTCCACTTCCTGACAACTATGACTAAAGAAATACTTCCTAACATATCTTTGATTCATCTGAGTCTTTAACTTCCAACTGTGACCCCCTTGTTGCTGTGTCGCATCTCTGGAACATCCTCGTCCACCTTGTCAATTCCTCGCGGTCTTAATGTTGCAGTTTTATAACTGTAGTGTAAATCAGACCTCTGGCAAGACAGTGATGGAGTGAATGATGGTGAAAACTTTCTTTTTCGGGCCACTCCACCTTACCTGGAGTTACCTGGAGGTTATTCCGGGGATCAACGCCCCCCGCGGCCCGGTCCATGACCAGGCCTCCCGATGGATCAGGGCCTGATCAACTAGGCTGTTACTGCTGGCCACACACAGTCCGACGTACGAGCCACAGCCCGGCTGATCCGGCACTGACTTTAGGTATCTGTCCAGGGATGAATCTTATTGTAACCAGCTAGGGTGTTACGGCTCAATGGCCATGGGTTCTAACCCCATGGCGAGTGTTATTACAATTTGGTGAGTCAAGCAGGTAATGTCCTTCCATCCATCCATCACCTGGTTTATCCTCCCTCGTGATCATTTTCTTCTTCCATTCTTCTTAGTAATCAGTTTATCTCAACTGTTCTTAATAACTTAATCCTCTACTGATTCACATGTCACATTTATCTTAGTTACGACATTTGTGCTGCTTTCTGCCTCCTCCTCGCCACTATCTCCAGCCTCCTCCTCGCCACTACCTCCAGCCTCCTCCTAGCCAGTGTCTCCAGTTTCCTCCTCACCACTATCTCCAGCCTCCTCCTCGCCACTATCTCCAACCTTCTCCTCGCCACTACCTCCACCCTCCTCCTCGCCACTACCTCCTACCTCCTCCTCGCCACTACCTTCAGCCTCCTCCTCGCCACTACCTCCAGCCTCCTCCTCGCCACTACCTCCTACCTCCTCCTTGCCACTACCTCCTCTTCGCCACTACCTCCAGCCTCCTCCTCACCACTACCTCCAGCCTCCTCCTCACCACTACCTCCAGCCTCCTCCTCGCCACTACCTCCAGCCTCCTCCTCGCCACTACCTCCAGCCTCCTCCTCGCCACTACCTCCAGCCTCCTCCTCACCACTACCTCCAGCCTCCTCCTCACCACTACCTCCAGCCTCCTCCTCGCCACTACCTCCAGCCTCCTCCTCGCCACAACACTGGGTAACCTGCCTCACAGTCACATCAGAGTGTCGACACTAGTACAACTATGTATTTATTTATCTACGGACTTTCCATGAAAGGTTATTCTGTCCACATCTTTCTCAGCATCGCTGTAACTTTCCATATGCTACTTTCTATCTGCAGCTTTCCGTCTCTCATACAATATATGATCCATATGATGACAGGTCCACTCCAGATTATCTTAATACACCGACTTTCTCAACACACACTTCCAGTCTGACCCGCAATGATTCGTTCACTATAGTTTTACACGTTGTTACTTCCTTGTTCTGCTGTCGTATTTTTGTGTTCACGTTTTTCTCGAGTATTACGCATATCATTGCAAATTCTGGTAGTCTATGCAAACTCTCCTCCGAGTCTTCCACCATCACTGCGCCATCTGCAAACAGCGAATGTTGCAACACCCTCATTATATCACATTATTTATGGTCGGAGAACGCGAGTATGCAGAGATTGTTTACTTCCCGAACTGAGCCAACAAACCATTGAGGCTGGAGTTTTGAGACGCACTTGCCCTGAGTTCTAACCCCACCCGTTACCATTTCAACTGCCTCAGTGTACTGAATATGGTTTCTCTGGAGCTGAGGAGAGAGAGAGAGAGAGAGAGAGAGAGATGCCATAATATACTCCTGGAAGATGCTGGAGGACCTGGTCTCAAATCTACATGCTGCTGTATCATCGTAGTGGAGCAAGGGATGTGGGAGGAAGTGTAAAATGTGTGAGGGTGAAAAGCAGGGTCGTCGTGGACACGATACGAGAATATTATATCATTATCCATGAGTGTCTAGGCTAGTCAATCTGCTACCACCAGATATCAGAGATATTGTTGTCGGAACTAGTGTACAAGTGTTCACTGCCTCCAGCAGGTGCTGGATCACCACCTAAGATGCTGCACACACTCACACTGCTACACACACTCACACTGCTACACACACTCACACTGCTACACACACTCACACTGCTACACACACTCACACTGCTACACACACTCACACTGCTACACACACTCACACTGCTACACACACTCACACAGCTACACACACTCACACTGCTACACACACTCACACTGCTACACACACTCACACTGCTACACACACTCACACTGCTACACACACTCACACTGCTACACACACCCACACTGCTACACACACTCACACTGCTACACACACTCACACTGCTACACACACTCACACTGCTACACACACTCACACTGCTACACACACTCACACTGCACACATACTCACACTGCTACACACACTCACACTGCTACACACACTCACACTGCTACACACACTCACACTGCTACACACACTCACACTGCTACACACACTCACACTGCTACACACGCTCACACTGCTCCACACACTCACACTGCTACACACACTCACACTGCTACACACACTCACACTGCTACACACACTCACACTGCTACACACGCTCACACTGCTACACACACACTCTCTGCTACACACACTCACTGCTAGATACACTCTCACACTCACACACTCAGTGTTCAGGATATCTTACTGGGTGTCTGGGTACAGGTGACCACGGTGGGTAGACACAGCTGCAGAAGTCACCATACCCTTCGTAAGATTCGCAGAAGGCTGCCCTCTGCTCCATACCATGGGCACCATACCACCCACACTGCCCTGCTGTAAGGGAAACAAAAATTCCCAGTGAGCGTAGTTATGTAGAGGAGGAGGATCGAGTCCACAGTACTCTCTCTCTCTTTTGGGCTGTTCAGGGTCGTGTTACCTGGTCTGCGAGGCACTGGGAGGTGCAGAGTGAGAGGAGAGAGGTCAAACGTGCTGAGGTCTCGACCTGCCAGTGATGTCACCAGTGCCTCGAGCAGCACCAGGCTGCCCTTGTGCACCAGCAGGCACCAGGCGTCCTTATAGGCCAGCCTATCGATGTAAAGGGCGCCAACCTCCTTCAGAGCCTCCATTACTCCCTCCTCCAGGAAAAGTGTCAAGTCTGGCTGCCGGTGAAGGAAATACAGTCATTTCTCTTACTTTATTCTCGTTATTTGCTTTACTTTCGTTACCGTCTTCAGCGGCTCCAGAACTTCCATCTCCAGGAACAACGAGACACCAGGCTGTCGGTATTGTGTTAGTTGTGTATTGTTGCAACCACGGTATTGTGTTAGTTGTGTATTGTTGCAGCCACGGTATTGTGTTAGTTGTGTATTGTTGCAGCCATGGTATTGTGTTAGTTGTGTATTGTTGCAGCCACGGTATTGTGTTCGTTGTGTATTGTTGCAGCCACGGTATTGTGTTAGTTGTGTATTGTTGCAGCCACGGTATTGTGTTAATTGTGTGTTGTTTCAGCCACGGTATTGTGTTAGTTGTGTATTGTTGCAGCCACGGTATTGTGTTAGTTGTGTTTGTTGCAGCCAGGGTTTAATGTGTTAGTTGTGTGTTTTTTGCAGCCACGGTATTGTGTTAGTTGTGTATTTTGCAGCCACGGTATTTGTGTTAGTTGTGTTTGTTGCAGCCACGGTATTGTTTTAGTTGTGTATTGTTGCAGCCACGGTATTGTTTTAGTTGTGTATTGTTGCAGCCACGTTTTGTGTTAGTTTGTATTGTTGCAGCCATGGTTTATTGTGTTAGTTGGTATTGTTGCAGCCACAGTATTGTGTTAGTTGTGTATTGTTGCAGTCACGGTATTGTGTTAGTTGTGTATTGTTGCAGCCACGGTATTGTGTTAGTTGTGTGTTGTTGCAACGACGGTATTGTGTTAGTTGTGTATTGTTGCAGCCACGGTATTGTGTTAGTTGTGTATTGTTGCAGCCAAGGTATTGTTTTAGTTGTGTATTGTGCAGTCACGGTATTTGTGTTAGTTGTGTATTGTTGCAGCCCACGGTATTGTGTTAGTTGTGTGTTGTTGCAGCCACGGTATTGTGTTAGTTGTGTGTTGTTCAGCCACGGTATTGTGTTAGTTGTGTGTTGTTGCAGCCACGGTATTGTGTTAGTTGTGTGTTGTTGCAGCCACGGTATTGTGTTAGTTGTGTGTTGTTGCAGCCACGGTATTGTGTTAGTTGTGTGTTGTTGCAGCCACGGTATTGTGTTAGTTGTGTGTTGTTGCAGCCACGGTATTGTGTTAGTTGTGTGTTGTTGCAACCACGGTATTGTGTTAGTTGTGTATTGTTGCAGCCATGGTATTGTGTTAGTTGTGTGTTGTTGCAGCCACGATATTGTGTTAGTTGTGTGTTGTTGCAGCCACGGTATTGTGTTAGTTGTGTGTTTTTGGGCAGCCCGGTATTGTGTTAGTTGTGTGTTGTTGCAGCCACGGTATTGTGTTAGTTGTGGTTGTTGCAGCCACGGTATGTGTTAGCTGTGTGTTGTTGAAACCACGGTATTGTGTTAGTTGTGTATTGTTGCACCCACGGTATTGTTTATTGTGTGTTGTTGCAGCCACGGTATTGTGTTAGTTGTGTGTTGTTGCAGCCACGGTATTGTTTTTAGTTGTGTTTGTTGCAGCCACGGTATTGTGTTAGTTGTGTGTTGTTGCAGCCACGGTATTGTGTTAGCTGTGTGTTGTTGCAACCACGGTATTGTGTTAGTTGTGTGTTGTTGCAGCCACGGTATTGTGTTAGTTTTTGTGTTGTTGCAGCCCGGTATTGTTTTTGTTGTGTGTTTTTTGCAGCCACGGTTTGTGTTAGTTGTGTATTGTTGCAGCCACGGTATTGTGTTATTTGTGTGTTGTTGCAACCACGGTTTTTGTGTTAGTTGTGTATTGTTGCAGCCAGGGTTTATTGTGTTAGTTGTGTATTGTTGCAGCCACGGTATTGTGTTAGTTGTGTGTTGTTGAAAGCCACGGTATTGTGTTAGCTGTGTATTGTATGCAGCCACGGTATTGTGTTATTTGGGTGTGTTGTTGCAGCCACGGTATTGTGTTAGTTGTGTATTGTTGCAGTCACAGTATTGTGTTAGTTGTTTTATTGGGTTGCAGCCATGGTATTGTGTTAGTTGTGTGTTGTTGCAGCCACGGTATTGTGTTAGTTGGGTGTTGTTGCACCCAAACGGTATTGTTTTGGGTTGTTTTATTGTTGCAGTCACAGTATTGTGTTAGTTTGTGTTTGTTGCAGCCACGGTATTGTTTTGTTTGTGTTGTTGCAGCCAGGGTATTGTGTTGTTGTGTGTTGTTGCAGTCACAGTATTGTGTTAGTTGTGTATTGTTGCAGCCACGGTATTGTGTTAGTTGTGTGTTGTTGCAGCCACGGTATTGTGTTATTTTGGGGTATTGTTGCAGTCACAGTATGTGTTAGTTGTGTGTTGTTGCAGCCACGGTATTGTGTTAGTTGTGTATTGTTGCAGCCACGGTATTGTGTTATTTTGTGTGGTTGTTGCAGCCACGGTATTGTGTTAGTTGTGTATTGTTGCGGGCCACGGTATTGTGTTAGTTTGTGTGTTGTTGCAGCCACTGTATTTGTTAGTTGTGTATTGTTGCATCCACGGTATTGTGTTAGTTGTGTTTTTGTTGCAGCCACGGTATTGTGTTAGTTGTGTGTTGTTGCAGCCACGGTATTGTGTTAGTTTGTATTGTTGCAGCCACGGTATTGTGTTATTTGTGTGTTGTTGCAGCCACGGTATTGTTTAGTTTTTTGGTTGTTTTTGCGCCACGGTATTGTGTTAGTTGTGTATTGTTGCAGCCACGGTATTGTGTTAGTTGTGTATTGTTGCAGCCACGGTATTGTGTTAGTTGTGTATTGTTGCAGCCACGGTATTGTTTTTAGTTGTGTATTGTTGCAGCCACGGTATTGTGTTAGTTGTGTGTTGTTGCAGCCACGGTATTTTTTAGTTGTGTATTGTTGCGGGCCACGGTATTGTGTTAGTTGTGTGTTGTTGCAGCCACGGTTTTTGTGTTAGTTGTGTATTGTTGCAGCCACGGTATTGTGTTAGTTGTGTGTTGTTGCAGCCACGTATTGTTTTTAGTTGTGTATTTTTGCGCCACGGTATTGTGTTAGTTGTGTGTTGTTGCAGCCACGGTATTGTGTTAGTTGTGTATTGTTGCAGCCACGGTATTGTGTTAGTTGTGTGTTGTTGCAGCCACGGTATTGTGTTAGTTGTGTGTTGTTGCAGCCACGGTATTGTGTTAGTTGTGTGTTGTTGCAGCCACGGTATTGGTTAGTTGTGTGTTGTTGAAAGCCACGGTATTGTGTTAGTTGTGTATTGTTGCAGCCACGGTTTTGTGTTATTTTGGTGTGTTGTTGCAGCCACGGTATTGTGTTATTGTGTATTGTTGCAGCCACGGTATTGTGTTAGTTGTGTGTTGTTGCACCCACGGTATTGTTTTAGTTGTGTATTGTTGCAGCCACGGTATTGTGTTAGTTGTGTGTTGTTGCAGCCACGGTATTGTGTTAGTTGTGTATTGTTGCAGCCACGGTATTGTGTTAGTTGTGTATTGTTGCAGCCACGGTATTGGGGTTATTTTGTGTATTGTTGCAGTCACAGTATTGTGTTAGTTGTGTGTTGTTGCAGCCACGGTATTTGTTTTGTTGTGTGTTGTTGCAGCCACGGTATTGTGTTAGTTGTGTATTTTTGCAGTCACAGTATTGTGTTAGTTGTGTATTGTTTCAGCCACGGTATTGTGTTAGTTGTTGTGTTGTTGCAGCCACGGTATTGTTTAGTTGTGTGTTGTTGCACCCACGGTATTGTGTTAGTTGTGTGTTGTTGCAGCCACGGTATTGTGTTAGTTGTGTTTTTTGGCAGTCACAGTATTGTGTTAGTTGTGTTTTGTTGCAGCCACGGTATTGTGTTAGTTTGTGTTGTTGCAGCCACGGTATTGTGTTAGTTTGTGTTGTTGCAGCCACGGTATTGTGTTAGTTGTGTGTTTTGCAGCCACGGAAATTGTGTTAGTTGTGTATTGTTGCAGCCACGGTATTGTGTTAGTTGTGTGTTGTTGCAGCCACGGTATTGTGTTAGTTGTGTATTGTTGCAGCCACGGTATTGTGTTAGTTGTGTGTTGTTGCAGCCAAACGGTATTGTGTTAGTTGTGTATTGTTGGCAGCGACGGTATTGTTTTTAGGTTTTGTGTTGTTGCAGCCACGGTATTGTGTTAGTTGTGTATTGTTGCAGCCACGGTATTGTGTTAGTTGTGTATTGTTGCAGCCACGGTATTGTGTTAGTTGTGTATTGTTGCAGTCACAGTATTGTGTTAGTTGTGTGTTGTTGCAGCCACGGTATTGTGTTAGTTGTGTGTTGTTGCAGCCACGGTATTGTGTTAGTTGTGTATTGTTGCAGTCACAGTATTGTGTTAGTTGTGTATTGTTGCAGCCACGGTATTGTGTTAGTTGTGTGTTGTTGCAGCCACGGTATTGTGTTAGTTGTGTGTTGTTGCAGCCACGGTATTGTGTTAGTTGTGTGTTGTTGCAGCCACGGTATTGTGTTAGTTGTGTGTTGTTGCAGTCACAGTATTGTGTTAGTTGTCTGTTGTTGCGGGCCACGGTATTGTGTTAGTTGTTTTGTTTGCAGCCACGGTATTGTGTTAGTTGTGTGTTGTTGCAGCCACGGTATTGTGTTAGTTGTGTGTTGTTGCAGCCACGGTATTGTGTTAGTTGTGTGTTGTTGCAGCCACGGTATTGTGTTAGTTGTGTGTTGTTGCAGCCACGGTATTGTGTTAGTTGTGTGTTGTTGCAGCCACGGTATTGTGTTAGTTGTGTATTGTTGCAGCCACGGTATTGTGTTAGTTGTGTATTGTGTCAGCCACGGTATTGTGTTAGTTGTGTATTGTTGCAGCCACGGTATTGTGTTAGTTGTGTGTTGTTGCAGCCACGGTATTGTGTTAGTTGTGTATTGTTGCAGCCACGGTATTGTGTTAGTTGTGTGTTGTTGCAGCCACGGTATTGTGTTAGTTGTGTATTGTTGCAGCCACGGTATTGTGTTAGTTGTGTATTGTTGCAGCCACGGTATTGTGTTAGTTGTGTATTGTTGCAACCACGGTATTGTGTTAGTTGTGTGTTGTTGCAGCCACGGTATTGTGTTAGTTGTGTGTTGTTGCAGCCACGGTATTGTGTTAGTTGTGTGTTGTTGCAACCACGGTATTGTGTTAGCTGTGTGTTGTTGCAGCCACGGTATTGTGTTAGTTGTGTATTGTTGCAGCCACGGTATTGTGTTAGCTGTGTATTGTTGCAACCACGGTATTATTTTTATCAATATAACAGATAACAAACTCTTACATTATATATTATAGTATTACTGTATCATTATATAATTAAATACTCCATTATAATATTTTTGAGACAATGTTGCATATGCAAGATCAAGTTCTATTGAGATTTGAATCTATGAAAAAATTGCACTTCTGTACATGATGATCCACTATCTGTACAATCAGGTTGTTGGTTGTTACTCACTGCACCCAGGATGACCAGGAGGCGACCATCCTGAGTGTCCCGCAGCGACTGGGTGACCTGATTGTCTGTGGTGGTGATGCCAGTCATGTAGTGGGCGGCAGCCATGAGCTGACCTGTGGTCTGGTGTAAGGTGAGCAGGTGTAGACCAGCATGGCAGGCAGCAAGCTTCCCTCCCCAGCACGTGGTCTCATTGACACAGCTGTACACCTGCAGGTGGAACACGGGGTTCGTGTTGCACTCTTGTAAACTTCTCAGTAGGCGCTTCTATAATAGTGATTACAAAACACAGACTTTTGCAACATTGATAGTGAGACTATGTCCAAACCAAAGCTAACTCACCAAATTTATATCTGAAATTCTGCCCAGATTTATAAAAAATAAGTCACACCCAGACCTGAACCACATCTGTGGTAATTTGAGAGGCAATCGAATCCAAAATAAAGAACTGTGAGATTACCTGACGTCCGTCCACCGATAACGTTACTCCTGTGGCGTTGATTGTGATGTCCAACAGGAGGCTACCCTCATCAGCGTCTTGGTCTTCGAGAAGTGAATTTCTTGCAGGAGTTTTGGTTTTGGGAAAGAAAGTTTGAGTAGACTCTTGAGGTTTAACAGTGGAAGATGCGGGTGTTTTTGGAGTTCTCGAGGCTGAAGTATCAGAGACTTTTGAACCATTGGAAATGGAATATTTAGAGGTGTTTGGAGTTCTGGAAATGGAACTATCAAAAGCCTTTGAACTTCTGGAAGTAGACGTATCAGGGGTCTTTGAAGGTCTGGAAGTAGAAGTATCAGGAGCCTTCGGATAACTGGAAATGGAGGCATTAAAATGTTTTTTATTCAACTCAGTATCACTAGGATTTTCTCTTTTATGCATGAAAGCTGCAGTTACATATCGACCTGCTGGAATAGAAATTTCAGCAAACTCTTGTTCTTCAGAATTAGATACATTTCGAACCTCTCGAGGCCTGTGTTGAGAAATAACAGGTGCCTTCTGAATGAAGGCTTTCCGATAGATGGAGGTATCTAATTCGCCAGCACTTGTACTCTGAAGAGCTAAGAGCCTTCGAGAGATCTGAATCGTTTTTGGATTGGCTTGAATATCATACTCTTCGCCAGAAGGCGCTGCTCTCAATCTTCTGTTGGTGTTTATAAGAGCACCTTTCTTGTCCTCCACATAGACACCCATGTGTTTGTTGTGTTTCTCAGCAGCGTTTGTCATCACACGTAAATCTTCACTGTTTTTCTTTCCTGGTCCTTCATTGTTACTTGAAATTTCCTTGACGCTGTGCTCTGTTGCGTGTTCCTTACCTTCGCTTCGCACTGTTTTCAGTAACTTGCTGTTATCGCTATCGTTCTTGGAGGGCACAGTTTCTCTCCTACCTTCAGTTAGTTTCGATGCAGCATCAACACCAGAATGATTCTTGAGCGTCATATGATACAGCAGGATGGTGATTGTGATGGTCACCCCCAGCTGCTGGGTAGTGATGGACACCATGGTGTCAGCGCTGACCTAGTTCTCGAATCATACGCGTAGGATTATAGTCACATTGGGGCCATATTTACGGGTGGGAGGATGCTAGAGGAGGTTTTAAAGGCGTTAACCAACAGTGTAAATAGTCACAGACCCGACCGAAATTAGCAAACGGTGGGTCGAGCCTTCACCACCTCTTGCTCTGACTAACCCACACGAGTTAACCGCTTCACATAAAAACTAATGAAACTTCTAACAACCTGTTAAGCACAAGTAAGACAGAGTTAGTTCTAATGTGCACGAGAAATAATCTTGAATATCTTCCTAATATTTCCTTATATATTTTTTCTTCTTGCGTAATGTAAAAATATTAAATAAAACGTAATATTCTACCTCTTGATATATTATATTCTCAGAATTTCGTTACCGAGTTTATAGAAAGACTTATTTTTGTTTTTTTTTCCAAAATTGACGTGACTAAAGTACAATAAAAAACATATACTGAGTGTGGTGAAGTGTGTTGGTATTGACCTCTCTAGCACACACTCTCTTTCTCAGTCTTGTTACCTTCACGTCACGGTCACAGCTAAGGAAATGTGAAACTGTGATATTCTACTATAGTTACCCTGTAAAATATCGAGTCACTGTATGTTCTGGGGAGTACTGAAGTAGATGAATACTGAGTTGCTTGCAGCGTTGTTGAAGACTCTGATTACTTCGAAGCGATGGGAAGTTAAGGGGCACGTAAGTTCTCCCGTCGTCTAATAACGTTCATTTTTCCACTATAATCTGCCTTGTCCATAATTACTAACACATTTGTTTTGTCTGTTTCGTAAGGTGAAGTCTAGAATCTTTCTTTAATTCATGGTATAACTTAACAAATCTTTGAGAACAATGAGCACTTGAGTATATTATCAGAAGACAGGGGAACTTGTGTGCCTCTTAAAACCCCAAGCCAAGCCAAGGAAACTAAGCAGTGTGGCTTGTTTCTACTGTGATTCCTAAAGGATACGAACCACAACGTTTCCCAGCCAGATCCACATAGCAGTTGACTAAGCCCAGCACTATTTGTGGTGAACAGGAACATCAGCAGACGTAAGAAGACTCGCTCACACGTCTCTCCCAGCCCGTTGGGAAGGGGAATCGAACCACTTACCACCAGGTGTATGACACAACTGGCCTCTGCGGTGAGCTGGCGTCCCGCGAGGCGATTTCCTGCGCCACCAGTCGCTACTCCTCTTCACGTTTTTCCTTGTATTTACCAGTCGCTTTTTCCTGATCTCTGTTGCTCTCTGACTTACCTATCAGGGGGAGGAGGGGGAGGGGGTAGGGGGCGAATCTGGCAACACTGTTAAGATCGGCATTTATTTTTTTTTTGTTGTTGTTACCGTTATTTCCGTTTTTCATTTATTATTATTTTGCTAACGTCGTTGCTTGAATTTTTTTTTTTTTGGGGGGGGATTGATGGAGCAAGGGAGCGCCAGAAGCAACAGCTGGTTGATCAGGCAATTAACGATACGGTTATTACTACCCTTGAATTTATTGTAATCAGGAAGTACTCATCTTGAGGGGCGATCAGAGCGTTCCTACCTACCTGGAGGAGTCTACCTGGAGGGCATTCCGGGGATCAACGCCCCCGCGGCCCGGTCCATGACCAGGCCTCCTGGGGGATCAGGGCCTGATCAACCAGGCTGTTACTGCTGGCCGCACGCAATCCAACGTACGAACCACAGCCCGGCTGATCCGGCACCGTCTTTAGGTATCTGTCCAGCTCCCTCTTGAAGACAACCAGGGGTCTTCCCGTAATGCCCCTTATTGCTGGTGGGAGGCTGTTGAACAGTCTTGGGCCCCGGACACTTATTGTGTTTTCTCTTAGTGTACCAGTGACGCCCCTACTTTTCACTAGGGGTATGTTGCATCGCCTGCCAAGTCTCTTGCTTTCGTATGGAGTGATTGCTGTATGCATATTAGGGATTAGATTCCTTTTAGGAGGATTAGATCCTTTCTGAGGAGGATCAGATCCTTTTGAGGAGGATCAGATCCTCTTGAGGAGGATTACATCTTTTTTGAGAAGGATCAGATCCTCTTGAGGAAGATTAGATCTTTCTTAGGAGGATTAGATTCTTTCAGGAGGATTAGATCCTCTTAAGCAAGGTTAAATCCTTTTTGAGGAGGTTGAGATTAATTTGAAGAGGTCTGGATTATCTTGAGGATGTTTAGACTAGGGAGAGTTGAGGTTCTCGTGAGGAGCATTAGATCCTCTTGAAGAGCATTATATCCTCTCGAAAAACATCAGATCCTCTTAAAACGTCATCAGATTCTCTTAAAACAGCATCAGATCCTCTTGAGGAGCATCAGATCCTCTTGAGGAGCACCAGATCCTCTTGAGGAGCACCAGATCCTCTTGAGGAGCACCAGATCCTCTTGAGGAGCGCCAGATCCTCTTGAGCATCAGATCCTCGTGAGCATCAGATCCTCTTGAAGAGCATCGGATCCGGTTCATCTTAAAAGATGATCAGATTCTCTTAAAGGAGCATCAGATCCTCTTAAAAGAGCATCAGATACTCTTAAGGGAGACTGAGTCTTCCTACTTAAAGGATCATCATATAAGATCCAAGAGGACTCGACCGTCTCATTAAGAGGATTAAGTGCCGTCGTAGAAGCGCGTTTGATGCTGACGAAAGGTTCTTGATCCGAGGAAGCGGCGCTAGCCCTCCCCCCTTCCGTGACCCCCGACCCCCAGACACTGAATAACCCTCACTACAGGTTTAGCGCTTCCTCACGTTATATCTTATATTCTTTAATCTTCGCAATTGAAAGATATTTGTGTGTGTGTGTGTGTGTGTGTGTGTGTGTGTGTGTGTGTGTGTGTGTGGTGTGTGTGTGTGTGTGTGTGTGTGTGTGTGTGTGTGTGTGTGTGTGTTTGTGTGTGTGTGTGTGTGTGTTAACACATACCAGTACCAGTAATTCTGGGTTATAAAGTTGAGGTTGCAGGGGTCGAGTCCAAGCTCCTGGCCCCGCCTCTTCACTGGTCGCTACTAGGTCACTCTCCCTGAGCCGTGAGCTTTATCATACTCTGCTTAAAGCTATGTATGGATCTTGCCTCCACTACATCGCTTCCCAAACTATTCCACTTGCTGACTACTCTGTGGCTGAAGAAATACTTCCTTACATCCCTGTGATTCATCTGTGTCTTCAACTTCCAATTGTGTCCCCTTGTTACTGTGTCCAATCTCTGGAACATCCTATCTTTGTCCACCTTGTCAATTCCTCTCAGTATTTGATATCGTTATCATGTCCCTATCTCTCCTGTCTCAGTGTTGTCAGATGATTTCTCTTAACTCTCTCTGGAGACATACCTCTTAGCTCTGGATAGTCTTGTTGCAAACCTTTGCACTTTCTCTAGTTCTTTACGTGGTTGTGTGTGTGCCGCGCGCAATCGTTGTGTGTGCGCATCGGTGTGTGTGCGCAACGTGTGTGTCGCGTCGTGTGTGCATCGTGTGTGTGTGCGCATCGTGTGTTCGCGCGTCCTGTGTGTGCGCGCACGTCGTGTGTGTGCGCATCGTATGTGCGCGCGTCCTGTGTGTGTGTGTGTGTGTGTGTGTGTGTGTGTGTGTGTGTGTACGTATGTACGTACTCGCCTAGTACTCACCTAGTTGAGGTTGCAGGGGTCGATTCAAAGCTCCTGGCCCCGCCTCTTCACTGGTCGCTACTAGGTCACTCTCTGAACCGTGAGCTTTATCAGTCTTGTAGAATGTACAGCATAGGGCAGTAGATGTGGCTTATATACTGTAGTCAGGTGAGGCGAAGCAGGAGGAGGCGGGGTCATAGTGGTACCATCCACTAGTCGAAGTAGGTCTTCGTCCAAAGTTTGAACAAGTGTTGAAGAATTCTTTGTATCAAGATCCCATGATGCTGCAGTATCTGACATTATTTCTTATGGGAAATATTGCTTCAGTTTTCATACGATTCAGCTTTCGTTAGACTTTTCGAACAGATTAGTCATGAAAACTGAGGTTCCACTGTATATTATTCATCGAATTCAGCACTTCTGTGCAACAGTGTGTGTGTGCGTGTGTGTGTATGTGTGTGTGTGTGTGTGCTAACCTAGTTGTGGTTGCAGGGGTCGATTCACAGCTTCTGGCCTGACCTCAGCTAACCCAATGTGAAGGCAGCAGCACTCAGTGTTCATGACCGGCTCTGGTATGAAGCCGTTCAAAACTAAGATATATGACTAAGGGTTCATTAAACTCATGTAACCCAGAAGAACCTAACTGAAAAGAAAGATAGAGATGGTTAAAAAATTACGTGTGTGAGTGCATGGTTACTGGCACTAATTTGTTCGGCAGTGGCAGGTACCTTGGCACTCTAGACGAACGACTTTGGTGATAATTTTTTAACCATCTCTCTCTCTCTCTCTCTCTCTCTCTCTCTCTCTCTCCCCCTCTCCTCTCCTCTCTCTCCCTCTCTCCCCTCTCTTCTCCCCTCTCTCTCTCTCCTCCTCTCTCCCTTCCTCACTCTCTCTTTCTCTTTTCTCCTCCTCTCTCCCCTTTCATAGGTTGGGTTTTAATCTGGGGTAGATGAGTTTAATGAGCCCTTATATAGCCTATTTTAGAACGGCTTTATACCAGAGCCGGTCATGTACTCTTAGAGTGCTGTTTCCTTCAAGAGAGGCTCAGGTCAAATTAACTTGACATATTTAGCGATTATCATGGTCATTATCATGGTTACTAACACGGTCATTATCATGGTTATTAGCATGGTTATTATCATTTTTATTGTCATGGTTATTGTCATGGATGGTACTATTGGTCAATGTACTCGTAGTGGAAGAGGAGGAGAAGCAGGAGAAGACGAGAGGGAAGAAGTGGGCCACTCCGTTATTGTTTTTACTGTGATGAATCAGGGTTAATCCCTGGGATTTTTACCGATCCTGTCAGCCCTGAGTGATCCATCTGGGAACCCGTGGACCATCAGGGGCCCCGTGGACCATCAGGGGCCCCGTGGATCATCAGGGGCCCCGT